ATTGATCTTCCATCTACTGGTTCACTTCCAAAATGGTTGCAATGGCCAGGGTTGGGCCAGGCCAAAGCCAGGAGCCTAGAACTCCATCAGGGTCTCTCACGTGGGTGCTGGGGTCTAAGCACTTGGGCCATCCTCCACTGCTTACACAGGCACATTAGCAGGGAGCTGGATGACAAGCAGAGCATCCAGTGTCCATATGGGATGTTGGCATTGCAGGTGGTGGCCTAACCCACAGCGGGCACCACACTGGCCCTAAGCCATCCCTTTGTAGAGGAAGAAAGATGACTGAGAGCTTTAACCTAAGTACTTACTCATCCCAGTGGGCTTCTGGCACACCATGGCATCTCCCCAATGTGGAGTGGTTGCCTTGCAGCCCAGAGTTTAGTGATCTGGGTCATGCACCTTTTTCCAAACACTTCAAGTTTCCCAGTCAAAGGTTCTGGGCAGAAACGTAGAGGACCGATGAATTTGACCTGGGATCCTTTCCTGGAAACACTGCTACGGTTCACTTCAAGTGCTGCTGACCAATGAGATATGGCACAGATGTCTTCGTCTTGGAGGGACCCAGGGCTATCCAGGGGGATGTCTGGGAAGCAGAGTATGATATGGCAGCATACCCAGATGGGGCAGCCTCTGCCCAGGAGCGATGCCTGACCTATCAGTTCTTAACTGGCGCCTTCCGGGGCTGGTGCTGTGGTGTAGCAGGTAAAGCCACCACCTGTGACGCTGGCATCCCATGTGGGCGCTAGTTCCCAACCCAACTACTCCACTTCCTATCCATCTCTCTGCTAATGGGCCTGGGAAAAGTAGCAGAAGATGGCCCAAGTGTGTGGGTTCCAGCTACCCACTTGGGAGACCTGGATGAGGCTCCTGGCTTCAGCCTGGCCCAGCATGGGCTTTTGCGAGCAACTGGGGAGTGAGCCAGTGGATGGAAGAGCTCTCTGTCTCTTCCTGTCTCTCTGAAACACTGACTTTCAAAGAGTAAGTAAATCCTTTTTTTGAAAAAGAAAAACTAACTAACTAACCAGCACCTCCAGTCAATCGCTCTGCAGGGTTTCAGGTGGGCCTATGTTAAAACAAACACTCTGGGGTGGCCAGTGCAGTGCAGAGGGTTAAACCACTGCCTGGGTGCCCACTTCCAGTATCAGAATGCCAGCAGCGAGTCTCATCTTCTCAGCTTCTGCTTCCGTTTCCAGCTAATGCACCTGGGAGGCAGAGGAAAATGGTTCAAGTACTTAGGCCCCTGCCACCCATATGGGAGACTCAGAGTTCCTGGCTCCTGGCTTCAGCCTGGCCTAGCCCTGATTGTTGTGGGCATTTGGGGAGTAGATCAGCCAATGCAAATCTCTATGTCACTCTGTCTTCCAAATAAATCTAAAAAAAAAAAAAAAAAAAAAGAAAGAATGAATGAACTAATACTCCGCCTTATGTGACCGCATATGAGAGGCAGCACAGGATGGAGCAACTCCAGATTCACTGGGTTTCACCTCTGCACCTCTGACCTCCACTCCTCCCAGCAGCGCGAGGCTGGCCCCGTGGTGCGGGGGGGGGGGGGGGGGACACCGCCACCTCCTGGGAGCACTGTGGCTGCCGCTCCTGTCCAGCTCCAGCTTTTGCTATAAACCACTCCTTCCCCGGGTCTCTCAGCCACCATTTTCCCATCTTCCACTCCTCGGGTCGGGGGACACTGGTCAAGGCCCTTTAAACACAGTGTCGCTCGGCCAATGCCAACTGCCTACAGTGAGTCAGCTGACTACTGGGTCTCATGTGGCCAGGCCTCGAGCCAGCGACTACTCACACACAGCACACTGCACTTCCTCCTTCCACCCTGAGGGTTGCTCACTCTTCCTCCTGGGCTCCGTCTGACTGCACACGAGGGCACGGCAAGGCAGCTGGGCTCTCATAGTCAGGCTCCTCCAGTTCCGCACACTCCCCAGACCCTTCCGGGGATGGGTCCTCCAACTCTCCCTGCAACCCTCCCTGCGAACACAAGTCAGCTTTGTCCCCTGCTCTCTCTGAACCCCTCAGTGCAGTTCCCACCTGGCCTCCCTGTGGGCAGAAAAGATGCCTCAGGGTGGAGAACGCAGGCTCCGCCCAGAGACACCACTTCTCACCTTCAGAATACACTTGGAGAGCTTCCCGCTCCCTTGTTCCTCTCGGAGCAGGGGCTCTTCCCCCTGTGGGAGGAGACAGCAGCTCAGGCTCTCCCTGTCCCCTCCCCGTCTACGCCGGGCCAGGATGCCCCACACAGGGCATTTTCCGTGGGGGAATTTCTCCGTGGGGGAATTTCTCCGTGGGGGAATTTCATTTCTCCGCCTGCTGGCTTGGATCCTCCCTGACCACCGAGGCAGCTCCTTCCTTTTCGGTCGGATGACCACCCTCTAACAGGTGGCATGGATGCGCTGTTTACGCCGTCCCTTTCTCCACAAGGGCCTTGCTTTGACTGGGACTTGCCCGAGAGCCTGTCCCGACATCTTGCGTCCAGCTTGGGCTCTTGAGAGTTTGTCAAGGATCAGGGCTGGGACCCCTCATTTATCTGGAAGGCGAGGGTGGCTGGCAGAGTGCTGAGTTAGGGCCGCCTGGGAGAAGTGTTTGCTTCTTGCTTTCAAGAAAGGGCTAAGTGGGCTGTGTTGTGGTGCAGTGGGTTAAGCCGCCAACACCAGCAGCCCATACCAGAGCGCCAGTTCAAGTTTCTGGTTGCTCTGCTTCCAATCCAGCTTGCTGCACTGTGCCTGGGAAGGCAGCAAAAGATGGCCCAAGTCCTTGGGACCCTGCACCCACATGGGAGACCTGGAAGGAGCTCCTGGCTCCCAGTTTCAGCATGGCCTAACCCCTGTCATGATGGTCATTTGGGGAGTGAACCAGGAGATGGAAGATATCTCTGATTCTCCTTCTCTGTAACTCTGCCTTTCAAATAAGTATTCTGCTGCTCTCCCAGGTTTATCAAGAGGGAGCTGGATCAGAGGTGGAGCACCCAGGACACGAATGGGTGCTCACAAAGATGCTGGTGCCACAGGCTGCGGCTTAACCTGCCGTGTCATGGCACCAGCCCCAATACATAAAGCTTCAGAAAGAAAGACAAAAGAAAGGTCTGGGCTAGAAATCGAGATTTAGGAGTCATGGGGTGGGTGTTAGCACTTAAGACACTGATGTCCCGTACTGGAATGCATGAGTTTGCTGGACTGAGTTCCTGCACCCTGGTTTCAGGTATTTCATTAATTCGGGGAGTAAACCAGCAACGAGGCTCTCTCCCCTCGACTTCCTCCCTCCCTCCCTCCCTCCCTCCCTCCCTTCCTCCCTCCCTCCCTTCCTCCCTTCCTTCCTAGATTTACTTTATTTATTTGAAAGACAGAGTTACAGAGAGAGGTAGAGAGAGAGAGAGAACTTCCATCCGTGGGTTCACTCTCCAGATGGCCACAGTGGCCAGAGCTGTGCCAATCCGAAGCCAGGAGCCAGGAGCTTCTTCCAGGTCTCCCACGTGGGTGCAGGGGCCCAAGGACTCGGGCCATCTTCTACTTCTTTCCCAGGCCATAGCACAGTGCTGGGATCAGAAGAGGAGCAGCCTAGAACCGGCGGCCATATAGGATACTGATGCTTCAGGCCAGGGCTTTACCCCACTGTGCCACAGCGCCGGCCCCAACCCCCAGCTTTCAAATAAAATAATGAGCTACATAATTTTTTTTTTGACAGGCAGAGTGGACAGTGAGAGAGAGAGACAGAGAGAAAGGTCTTCCTTTGCTGTTGGTTCACCCTCCAATGGCTGCTGCAGCCGGCGCGCTGTGGCCAGCGCACCGCGCTGATCCGATGGCAGGAGCCAGGTACTTATCCTGGTCTCCCATGGGGTGCAGGGCCCAAGCACTTGGGCCATCCTCCACTGCACCCCCTGGCCACAGCAGAGAGCTGGCCTGGAAGAGGGGCAACCGGGACAGAATCCGGCACCCTGACCGGGACTAGAACCCGGTGTGCCGGCGCCACAAGGTGGAGGATTAGCCTAGTGAGCCACGGCACCGGCTGAGCTACATAAATTTTTAAAACGCAGGAGTCGATGAGGCACTGGGAGTAGCAGGGAAAGCCGTGAGTGTGGCCAGCCTGCCAGGCGGAGGGAGCTGCAGAGGAGCAAGTGCAGAGGCAAAACTGGGAGAGGGGGGCTCCCTGGAACTGGAGACTTCACAGGAGGGAGCAGTCAGCCAGGCCACAGGCAGCCGCGACGTCTAGCAGCGTGATGTGTGCGTGGCGCTGAACAATTGGGAAGTCACTAGGAACCTCAGAGTGAGGATGGCCCGGTAGGGGTACAACAGTGAATCTCACATCAGCTTAGAAAACTCTGGGTAAGGGGCCAGCGCTGGGTGAGCAGGTTAAGCCACTGCTTGCAATGCCAGCATCCCATATGGGTGCCAGTTCGAGTCCTAGCTGCACTGCTTCCCAAACAGCTCCCTGCTAATGCGCCTGGGAAAAACATCAGAAGATGGCCCAAGGGCCTGGGCCCCTGCATCCACATGGGAGACCCGGATGAAGATCCTGGCTCCTGGCTTTGTTTTGCAAGCTGCAAAAACACGAGCATTAGTGCCCAGCTTGCCACAGGACACCAGCCCCGCGGGCAACAGCACCACGCACGGCCTGGCTGGCCCTCCGTACTGGACCAGGGTCCGTCACTTCAGATCCCAGATCCTGACTTCTCTTAGCTGGGCTAGCATCACTCTTACTGCTCCGTTCTCTAATTACTGAACACATCGCTCCTTACATACGGTTATGCCATTCCGCCACGTTTAATCTGCAAAGCATTGCCCGTCACCAACATTTCACATCTTCAAGGTCCCAACGCGGACGCGCAGAGAGCTCGGCAGTGCGCACGCGCCCCCTGCCGGCCCCTGGCCGCACTGCAGCCCGCGGGGCGACGCCGCTCGCGTCCCGCCAGGCGAGAGCTCCGACGCGCTCCAGACCGGTCCGACCCGCGAGAGCACGCGCAAGGCCTTCTGGGAAATGTAGTTGATGTTCGAGTTAGCGCTACCAATGCCGGCCCACACCACGCCGCAGCCCCAGAAGGATGAGGGCGCTTCCCTGTGACTGAAACGTGCCCGTCTGTGCCATTGATTGGGACTGCTTCAAAAGCTTGATTCAGCTTTCGGGAAACACGATAGCGCTCTGGCCAGGTACTCCCAGGCCGATGTCGTCTTCCGCAGCTTTCCCGCTGCGACGAATCTGCCGTTGAGACGCAGTCGCTCGCTTGGCGGGGAGTTTGTGGAATCTGCTGTGGGAAGAGCGACGCGGGGGCTTCCCGGGGCAGCTGCTGTCATGGCGGCGGCCGCCCCCAGCGCCGGGCGCTCAGCGCCCGCCGCCGCGGAGCCCGCCGAAGCCCCGCTGCAGTACAGCCTCCTCCTGCAGTACCTGGTGGGTGACAAGCGGCAGCCGCGGCTCCTGGAGCCCGGGAGCCTGGGCGGGATCCCGAGCCCGGCCAAGAGCGAGGAGCAGAAGATGATCGAGAGGGCGATGGAGAGCTGCGCCTTCAAGGCAGCGCTGGCCTGCGTGGGAGGTGAGGCGCGGCGCGGCGCGTGGGCCCGGGGAGGCGGAGGGCTCGCGGGGCCGCGGTGCAGACGCGCGACCTCGGCTGCGTTCCCGTCGCGCCCCGGTGACCTCAGGCTCTGGCCCCGGGGTCAGCTTGGCCTTCGGAAATCCGAACGGGGAAGCAGGCCCTCTGAGGGAGGCGGCCAGGCCGTAGAATGGGTGACTTCGTTCATTCTTCATTCATTGCATCCTTAATTCAACAACTTGTTGCTGAGCAACTGGCCTGCGCCAGGCCGCGGAAACAGGGGGTGGGAGAGGCAGAGCCTTGGTCCGGTGGAGTTGAGGTTTTCCTGCTCAGAGGAGCAGGTGGACGGGGGGCTTGGCCGAGGAGCTGCCAGGAGGGAGCAGGCAGCGGTGGGCAGGGGGCGGAGGAGGCTGGCCCTGCCCTCTGGTTCTCTCTCTTTGACCTGTGGAGGCTATGAGGATGGACCGAACACTTCACGGGCACGGGGTAGACTGGCCGCGTGTGTGCTGAGTTTAAGTCTCGCTGAGAACGAACGACCTGTAAGAAATGAGTGCCAATGAGAAAAAGAGGGAGAGAAGAGGGATTTTGCTTTGGGGGGGGTGGGAGGCCATAGCAGAGGTGAACCTCAGGGCTGAGAAAGGGGAAAGTGGAGGCGAAGATTTGAGCTCAGGCCTTAGCGTGCTTACCGGTAAAACTTTTTTTTTTTTTTTTTTTTTTTTTAGGAGAGTGCTGAAGGGCACCCGGGGTGGAGTGTGGGGAAGGAGGAGAGGCTGGGTGGGATGGCCATGGAGACGGCTGAGACAAGCTCCCTGCAGGCACAGACTGCTCGCTGCTCCCCTTGACCTCCCCTGAGTCTCTGACGCTCCAGGGTAGGGGTGATGTGGACGCAGATGGCCATGGTCGTGCTTGGAGAGCTAGGCTGAAAGGGTTTGCCATCTTCTGTAGCTGCCTGGTTGCAGGGGAAGCGAGGAAGCAGGCAGAATTACTGCTGAGATACAGGGCTGTGGTGACGGTGAAGGAAAAGTCTAGGGGGGAGGTGGCCCTGGTATCCGTGAACTTGGGCTGCCTTTGAGGCCGTGAGGAGGCATCCATGGGCAGATGTCCAGGAGCCACAGGAGTGTCAGATGTGGGCAACAGCGTGGCCCTGTGACCTTGGGGAAGTTCCTTACCTTGCTGACCCTTGGTTTCCACATCTGTATAAAGGAAAGGGTGCTGGCATACTCCTGGCGGGTGCTGGGAAGAGGGGGTGAGGCAGTGGCTGAAGCGCCTGGTGTCTGGCACTTGGGCATCCTAAGTGACCTTATGGTCAAGGGGCTTGGCCGTGGCAGAGGAGTGAGGGCATGTGTTTGAGAGAGTACGGAGAGAACAGAGGGCTAGAGACAGAATCTTCAGGCAGGTTAGGAAAGAAAAGGAGAGAGAAATCTCAGAGGGTGGACCTTGTCATGTGGAAACCCGGGCGAGTGGCAAGAGGGTGCGTTCCCTGCACTGGTGGCCATCCAGGTCACTGATGAGCGTGATCCTGAGGTGGCATTCCAGAAAAAACATGCGCAAAATGCCAAGAATATTCCTCATCTCTGTGTTTGCTTCCAGGATTTGTCTTGGGAGGCGCATTTGGGGTGTTTACTGCCGGCATTGATACCAACGTGGGCTTCGATCCCAAGGATCCGTACCGTACACCGACTGCAAAGGAGGTTCTTAAGGACATGGGACAAAGGGGGATGTCCTACGCCAAGAATTTCGCCATTGTGGGAGCCATGTTTTCGTGTACTGAGTGTTTGGTAGAATCTGTAAGTATCCGTGCCTTCTGAGAAACCCCTGCCGACTGCCATCTCACACTCTTAAAGAGAAACACTCTTAGCGCGGTTACTAGAAAGCTGGCCAGGGGCTGGGGTCTGACTCAGTGGCTGAGAGACCATGTGGGACGCCTACGTCCCCATTCAGAGTGCTTGCGTCTGAATCCCAGCCCCGCTCCTATCCCAGTGTGCACCCTGGGAGACAGCAGGTGATGGCTCACGTAGCTGGGACCCTGCCACCCACATCAGAGATCCGGGATTGGGCTCAGGCTCTTGGCTTCTGCCAGGCCTCGCCCCAGCTGCTGCAGGCGTTTGGGGAGTGAGCCAGCAGATGAGGAACCTGTTTCTCTTTCAAAGAATTAAAAAAAAAAAAAAAAAGATTAGAAACATCAGATACTTTATGGCTTATATCATAAAATGATCCCTAATGTAAACTTTAAGCATTTTTAAAAAATTATTTGAAAGGCAGAGAGAGAGACGCAGAGAGATCTTCTATCCACTGGTTCACTCCCCAATGTACCTGCAAAGGGCAGGGCTGGGCCAGGCTGAGACTAGCAGCCAGGAACTCCATGGGGGTGCAGGGACCCCATCACCTGAGCCATCATCTGCTGCTTCGCAGGCACATTAGGAGAAAGCCGGGTTGGGTGTGGAGGCAGCACTGGATCCCAAGAACTCTGATGTGGGGTGCTGGCATCCCCAGGGCAGCCTAAGCTGCACCAAACGCCTGCCCTAACTTATAGAAACTTTGTGTATTTATGTTAGAGGCTTGCATTACTCTTTATCTTTTAAATAAATTGTTACTTTTTAAACATTTATTTATTTACTTGAAAATCAGAGAGAGAAGGAGAGATAGAGAGAGCTTCCATCCCCTGGAACACTTCCCCAGTGGCCAGCAATAAACCAAGCTGAACCAGGATCTGGGAGCTTCATCCAGGTCTCCCACGTGGGTGCAGGGGCCCAGACACTTGGGCCATCTTCCACTGCTTTCCCAGGCCATAGCAGAGAGCTGGATCAGAAGTGGAGCTGCTGGGACATGAACTGGTGCCCATATGGGATACTGGCTGGCCCCTGTTTTTTACTTTTTGTAGGCTAAACATTAGTTAATGATTTTTTTTTTAAATTATTTATTTGAAAGAGTTACAGAGAGAGAGGGAGAGACAGAGAGAGAGGTCTTCTGGTTTACTCCCCAGAAGGCTGCAACAGCCAGGGCTGGGCCAGGCTGAAGCCAGGAGCCAGGAGCCAGGAGCTTCTTCAGGGTCTCCCACTTGGGTGCAGGGGCCCACGCACTTGGGCCATCCTCTACTGCTTTTCCTAGGTGCATTAGCAGGGAAAATGGGATGCCCACATTGCATGGGTTGACTTTATGTGCAACACCACAACGCCAACCCAGTTAATAATTTTTAATCTGAGACTTAATAGAAAACCAGATAATAAATAGTGATTACACTGCCAGTGCTGGACTCTGTTGCAGCGCTTTGGTGCCCCCTGCAGGAACCATTTATGAACACATCCAATTTTAGGAATGCTTTTACGAAAGATTGGGTTTCCTTTGGGGAGGTGCTGAATCAGTCAGCTGAGTGCCCTGGGTTTTCTTCCATAATCACTGTGTCTGGCTGGTGTCTTTGGCTCTAAACTGCATTTCTCCACCCCCAGTACCGAGGAAAATCAGATTGGAAGAACAGCGTCATTAGTGGCTGCATCACTGGAGGAGCCATTGGTTTCAGAGGTTAGTAAATAGCTCTCGAATGCGTTTGCCTTTGTGGCCTTGGACGGCATGCGCAAGTCGCCATCCCCAAACATGTGAGTGTGCCAGGGACATGGACAGTGTCCCCTCCTGATGGGCGAGTCGTGACTGCCGTGCTGTAACTAGTGGGTGAAACTTGCGAGCGTCAGCACCAGCACGTCTCCGGGGCACTGCTGACATTCTGAGCCTCATAAGCCTTTCAGGAATTGGGGGTCAGCAGTCCTGGGCCTTGCACAATGTTTAATGGCGTCACTGGCTGCTACTCTGGCTGCAGTGCCACCTCCTGCAGTAGTGACCACTCAGAGTCTCCCAGTGTGGCCAAAAGGCCTCTGGGGAACGGATGACCCCTGGGTAATTGCTGGCGTGTGTTGGTCTGGGCCGGGTACGTTCACCCTCGGGGCCCCTTTGTCCACCTCTGAAGGTTATGCTGAATTGTCAGCTCCAGGCACTTCAGGTGTTTGGATGCTTTTCACAATAATTCTATGTGACTCTCCATTTTAACATAAAAATTGGAATAGGACTCTCTTTGTGGTTGAAGATTCTCAAATTTCTTCTCATTGAAAACTGAGTCTAGATGGTCTAGAACACTGGATTATCAGCTGTCCAGCAGTCCCTGCTGCTGCTCCCTGTGTGCGGGGCAGGGTCTCAGGGACGAGACTGGCCTAGGAGCGGTGTCTGTCACCAGGCCCTGGCTGTCCTGCTCCAGCTTACCCAGGGCAAAGAGCCTCTCCTCCAAGTCAGTGATTTGCTGCCACTTGTGATTCACGGTGACTTCCCTTGGGGTCTTCCCAGGGCCTCTGTGAGCAGCTCGGCCCCCTCCGGGGCTGCTTTGATCACCTTCCCAGGAATTTATTCCATAAACAAATCAGGGTCAAAGGCCATATGCTTTCATTTGATTCTAAGCACAGCTCTCTTAACCCATTTCCTGCCTGGGAGGGGCTGTCTCCCTAAGACTGGACATACTAATCCTTTGGAATGAGAGGAGCTACGTGAATGTCCAGTTAGAGAGAACACCAGTGGGCGGTGGGCCCTGCTTCACTGGAGTCTGCCAGAGCCGCCATCAGGCGCTCCAGCTGGTCTCTGCGTGTGCGGGTGTGCGGCCCGTCGCAGCCTGTGTCACCTCAGAAATGTCGTTTGTTTCTTTACAGCTGGCTTAAAGGCTGGGGCCATTGGCTGTGGAGGTTTTGCTGCGTTCTCGGCTGCAATCGATTATTACCTGCGGTGAGAGCTGTTGCCCGTGGGAAGGACGCACAGGCCCAGGATCAGAGCTGCGCTCCGCAGCACGGATTCCATGCCGCTCCGGGCCCTTGCTTCCGGGGCTGGAGGCCTTCGTGGTCCTTCACGGTGTTGGTGGCGCAAGGGAGCCACTTGACTGCCATCTGCCTCCAGCTTCCGGAGCAGCTACGCTCTTGGCCACTCCTGGACTCTGGCCAGGCTGGACTGTCCTCAGAGAAGAGCGGGGGGCAGGGGGACTTGCAGGAATTGAGCTCCCCAGAGGCTTTGTGCCGGACGCTGCTGGCAGCTCGCTACTGCGCACCCAGGAGGCCCGCCGTCTTGGAGCCCCAGATGGCAAGCAGCTCGTGCCAGGGCGGGGCACAGCGCACTCTGCCATCCAGCCAGTCATGTCCCGCTTCCTTGGTACAATGTATGTTTCTATAACAGTTGAGAAGGTTGGTTTCTTTTCCAAGCACACAGTCCCCAGGGGCCCCCAAGCCGGAACATCCACGGGAAGAGCGAGGTCCCCTGAGAGCCACGCTGTCGGGGGCTGCAGAAGACCAGGCTGTCCTCTCCGGGGCCTCTCCCCAGAGGCCCAGCCAAGCCGCTTTTTAGGGTGCATGGACATTCAAGGGCAACCCTCCTGCGCCGGCCCACACGTTGCTGTCGTGTTCTGACCACGGGGCCAGGCCTGGCTCGCGGACACACGGGGTGGTGCAGTCACAGCAGTGCCTGGCTGAGCCGAGGCTGCGGGGCTGGTCCCCGCTGCCTTCGTTCTCCGGGGCCGGGGCCGGGGCCGGGGCCGGGGGGGTGTTTGGTCATCTTACCCATTTTTGACTTGACCACATGCTCTTTTTCCGACATCAGCAGCTCAGCCTGCATCACAGACCAAAAACCAGCCTCCTAACAGCTGTCCCCACGCTGGGGCTGTGTAGCCCTGGAGCTCTGGTGGAGAGGCGAAGCCGATGGCCGTGGGCTCTGCCTCGTGCGGGGCTGTGGGCCGCAGGCAGCCACAGGACACCCTCGTTTCTGCTGGGCGGTACTGGTGTTCTTTTGCTTTCTTCACATCTGTTCTGTCTTGTAGCCCGCCCACCCACGCTCAGCCAGAGTTCAAAGATGCAGGCATCCCCAGTGTATATGCGTACGCGAGTGGCGATGTCAGACGGTCTGGCAACACCTTCCTCTGGCCGTGCCTCAGCGCAGGTGTGAGCTAGCACTGCGCGCTCACGGCCGCCTACAGGGAGTTCTGCATCCTGCCCACCCCAGGCTCATAGGCACGAGGCACCTTTGCTGCTGGGCCATTTGGAGCGTTCCCCAGAGCTCCAGAAACAAACTTGAGAGTGCTGCCTCTGCAGGCCGCGATCACATCGCTGGCGTGAGCACGTGAAGCCAGGGCAGTCACACCCTGTGACCTGGCACCCGTCGGAATCCTAGGCCGGGCTGCCTGGGGCCTCGCACCGCCCGTCTAGCGCGTGCAATGACACTGCCCTCCCAACAGCTTCGGACGAGATGAGCCCCGAGGCTGTCGGCAGCGGTGGGCCCAATAATCTAAGCATTGTCTGCACCGACTGTTCAATCAGGAGAGATGAAGAGTTTCCTGTTTTAGATGGCCAGGGAGCCAATATGAGCTCATAAACCAAACAGCAATTTTCAGACACATCTGTTCCTGATCTCCAGAATAAACAGTGTCCAGTGGCTCCGGCTGGTGGGAGCCTGCATTAACCCCACTGGCTGTCCCGGAGCGAGGTGGGCCTTCAGGGGCACCCAGCTTCACCCACGAGCAGTTTGGATCTCAAGGCTGCCCCAAAGACTCACTATTTGCAAACAAAACGTAGAGATATGTTTACATAAAGAGGAAGCTGGCTCTTCGATGGACTTCAACTTCCCAGCGTCTCCAAGGCACTCCGAGGGCCAGGTCCCTGATGGGGCGCAGGTACTTGGCAGTGGGAGCCGTGGTGGTAGATGCAGACGGCAGCATCAGCAGCAGCCGGCTGTGGGGGACCCAAGAGCACGGAGAAGCCTTGGCTCATCCCTGCCGCCCCGGATCTATCCCAGGCCCCACAGGCTGAGGGGAGGCGCAAGGGGAGTCGGGTAGGTAACGAGGTTCCTGGAAACACATCTGGAGGCAGCTGGCAGAGTTAAATATTTAGATTGGTGGGCTTCCCTGGACTACTGAGAACACAAACATCCACACCACAGGGCTGAGTTTTGTGCAAATGTTGGGGCTTCGCATTTTTTTTTTAATTAACATTTTCCTCTCACATGGTTTACATCAATTTATAATCTACATAAGTTGAAACGGAACATAGACAAAAAATATATCCTTACCACCTTATTAAAGTCAAATATTAATGGGGGGTCCCATTCTACCTCCATCGGCAAAAACTGGCAGCCTCAGCCGGTGCCCAGCAAGGACAGGCGTACCCGGAGCCTGCGGGCCCAGTGACACCGTGGCCTGCACAGGCCGTCTGAGGAGAACCCGCCCCAGATTTCCTGGGTGCAGCTTAGTCCAGGTGCGGCACGTGAGCCTGCACCTCTGGGGGCCAGCTTCATCAACCTGCCTGCTCCTGCTCTCGTGTACGCTCGGCCAGCTTGCGGGCTGCTGTTACCCGACGCTGGGAGGCGAGTGGCCCTGGCGCTGGGGCAGTGGGAGCCGCTCATCTGGGCTGTCACTACCGCCACGTGGACCTCTGACTCGTCGCTGTCAGAGGCGAGCCAGAGCCTGCCCCACCACACCTCAGCGGCCAACCGCGTGCCAAGCGGAGATGGTGGGCACGGGCAGGCCTGGGGTCTCGGGCTCCAGTGGCAGTCTTCCTCCTCGGCCGCCTGTCCCAGGGAGCAGAACTCCTCACTGAGCTGTAGACTGCGGCTGGCTGGCCACTACTTCCTTCCTTCAGGCATCTCTTCCTCCGACGTGCACGCGACGGGTACCGCTGTGCCGAAGGCCACGGGTGTGAACAGATCAGAACGCACTGCAGCTTGAGGCCAGTGAGCCCCTCCAAGACTTCGCCCTGAGCACGAGCAACAAGAGCGGAGGGCCTGGAACCCCTCTGCCACAGGAAGCCGCCCTTCCCAGTGCTGAGCAATGGGTTCAGGTCGGGGATGGGACCTGCTGAGCCCCCACTGTGGAGCAAGCTGTCCGCAGCGAGGGCCCCAGCAGCACCCGGTCCCGAGACAGGTGGTGCCGTGCCTCCTGCTGGCCTGGGCCTGTCCTGCCCGGGTCCCAGAGCACACGTGGCCGTGGGGGCTGCCCCGTGGCAGTGCTTGGCTGAGGAGAATGTGAAATCTAAGGCAAAAGTACTGTGAGGTACACGAGGTGCCGGCCGGCCTCCCCAGGGGAGCCTGCCCGTGTCCGGACACCTGCTTCAGCCGCCTCGCTGGCCCCCAGGAAGCCTGGCTTCTACGAGCCGCGTCCCCCACCCATGCTGTGCGGCCTCCCTCTGCCTGCCGCCCTGCCGCCTCCTCAGCAGTGCTCTCCCACCTCCCCAGATTCTGCCTGACCCTCTAGCGCTCTGGATGGGAAGTCACTTACTGTGAACCTTTACACTCAATGGAAACAGAACAATGGGGGAAAAGGAACCGAAAAGCAGAACAGTCAAAGACAGCCTCACGGGTAGGCCAGAGGCAGAAAAGACAAACCCTGCAAATGGAGAGTCTCGGGTGGAAAAGTCCAGAAGTCTGCTGTCCAGCTCTGCGCTGAGCTGACAGTTAGTGTGAGTGTCTCCTTGTCCAACATTTGCACAGGCAGCAAGGCAAAGCAGGTGTGCTTCCACGGGCGCAAGGAGAGGCTGGGGCGGCCCACGGCAGCCTCAGGCGACCGCCACTGCCGCCGCCACCCAGGGCCTCTTCAGTTGCGTCAGGGTGACAGAGCAAGGACGGAGGCTGCCCATGCATGCGGGCCAGTGGGTGCAGGCGAGGCTGCCCAGGGACTGCCGTCTGGGGGCGGGGCCGGGAGAGAGGCTGGCAGCAGTTAACACCGCGCAGAGTCCAAGCCCTCGCACCGGACGCGGGAGGAGAGTGCTGCAGGAAATGGAAGAACGAAGCAGGCTATGTGCGCGCCCACACCGGCGTGGTCAGTACCTCTTCTGCATGACAGATACACATAAAACAATCCCCAACAGCACGGAGCTTTAGACACGACTAGAGAGGGACGAGGGCGGGAGCCTGGGGCGCGGCACTGCGGCTGGGGGCTGGCCAGCTGGCTCTGTACAAGGTGCCACAAAGACGCACAGGGTCCAGTTCCTGGGAGCCGGTGTGCCCTAGAGTCCGGGCGTGGGAGTGTCCCACTGCAGTCTTTCAAGTCTGTGTAGGGCCCCCGGCTGGTGAGGCTGGCCCCGCCGCCCCTGCAGCCGGCCCCGCCCCGGGCTACACGTCGGTGGAGAAGTACAGTGTGTTCCGCTTCAACTCGGCGAAGGAGATGGGGGGGTGCTGCAGGTAGTAGAGGAGGACTTGGACCTGTGGGGAGACAGGGGACACTGAGGCCGGGGCCCTTGGCCTCCTCACCCGACCTTCTGAGAAGTGGTCCCTGGGCCGGGGTCAGGTCTGCGGTGCCACCTCCCCTTTCTTGGAAGTCTATGTATGTCTGCCCATTTACAGCAGTAGGGGGCGCCCCGGAGCCCTGTCCCTGGCCACACTCCTGGGCTTTTCTACCCAGAGCCTGAGGCTGGCATTGGTGGTGTGGCTCTGCCTCCAACTGGACCCAGCTCTAGGTCTAGTAGGGATCCCATGGACGCCTCCCAGAGCTTTCATGCACGAGGACAAGGCTCCCCCAGAGTTCTCTACACCCTGGGCTTGCTTCCCCAGACAGAGGCACTCCCAGAAAGCAGGCAGCATCCGGGACACACCTTCCCTGGGCCCCTGTCTAGGTGCAAACATTGCGATTTGGCCTGGGAGGGCCCGGGGTGGGGCTCTGAGTCGAGCTCTCTGGCGCCCCCCAGCCCCAGGCCTGGGCAGTGCTGCCGCTACCTGTGCCATGACGTCGTGGGACCAGATGTCTGCGGCTGACGTGAGATGTGCTTTGCTCTCCACTTCTGAGGGTCTCAGTAACGTGGGGCCAAACACGGTAGCCAGGTTGTGGAGCGACATTTTGTTGATGGGCTCCTTCTCGGCAACCCTGAAAGGGACGGCAGGGCTGAGAAAGAAGCACCCAGAGCTCCGGGACCCTTGGCCCCAGCCACAGGAACTCCCAGCACGACTCCCAGGAGACGGTCACCTAGCCTCCCGCTCCTGCTAAGACTGAGTTTATTGACTTGAAAGGCAGAGCATCGGGGTCGGGGGGAGGAGAGACCTTCCATCTGCTGGTTCATCCCCCAAATGGCTGAAATGGCCAGGCTAAAGCCAGGAGCCTGGATCTCTATCCGTGACTCCCATACGGGTCACTTGGGCCATCCCCCGCTGCCTCCCCAGGCATGTTGGCAAGAAGCACGATTGGAAGTGGAGCGGCTGGGACTTGATCCCAGGCACTCGGGTATGGGATGCCAGTGTCACAAGCAGTAACAAGTCAGCCCCCTCTCAAGGACAGAGATCTCCTGCTAGGAAGGGGAGTAAGCCTGGGGACCACACCCTCAGCCGTGTCCCGCCCGGCGCTATGGCAGTTCCCAGTTTCAGGGCCACCCCTGGACTGATGACAAAGTGCCAAGGCCAGCAGACCCACGGGGAACTCCCGCTGCCTCGCCTCAGAGAACACAGCGGTTCTAAGAAGGCTGGAGCAGCCGTCCTGCTCACGGTCCTCTGAGGAGGGCGCTGTCGACCAGCATCTCCACAGCACAGACAGGTGAGTGTCTCGCCCAAGGTCACACCGCTAGCAAGTGACAGAGCTGGGATCTGGATCCAGGCGGTTCACCCTGGAACCCATGCTCCTAAGTGCTCTGCTGCGGACCCCATCAGTCACACTGGGCTAAGGGGGCCTGCAGGGGGTGCGGTGGGCCGGGAGCCCGGTAGCTGCGTCCCGCGATGGGGCCCTGAGCCCACCCTGTTCTAGAAATGTCTGCCTCCCTTTGGGTCGTGCCCTGCTTCTCCTGGGTAACAGACCAGAAGCTCTGTGGCTCTCAGTGACAGTGGCAGCTGCCACCTCTGGCTGTTGTCCAGGCAAGGCCCAGTGTCACCAAACACACCAGCAAAGCTCACCAACCTCAGAAATGTTTCTGGGGCTGAGCTCCGCCCGCTCTGAGCAGTGCCGGTCACCCCTCCCTGGGGTACCCGCAGCCCCGCCCATTGGCAGCAGCCAGGCCACGCCCACTGACTGCTTGGAAACGGCACACAAACACCACAGTGCCAGCGGGCAGCTGTGCCACGGGGCCGGCCCCACCACACACACCGTCCCCCCACATGCGCACACCCCTCCACACAGCAGACACACATGCCACGCAAACCGACACCACACACACACACACACAGCCAGGGGCCCAGATGTGGGAACAGGCTGTGCCCGGTTCCCAGGGTGGAAAACCTAATGGGTTTCCCTTCCCACTCCTCTGTGCGTCCTCCCCACAGCGCCTGCCAAACTATTTGGGAATTGGTTGGGGCTTAGGTCCTGGCCAAACCAGAGGGGAAAATGTCTCATAATGGGAAAAACAAGACAGTGGTCCCAGGCACATCCAGGTCTCCGTGGGCCCTGCCGTGGCCAGCCCGCAGCGCAGCAGTGGGTGTGCCTGGGCCCGACACGGGCTGGGCCACACAGCAGGCCCTCAAGGCTGGGGCTGGGGAGTGCCTGGGTGCCTGGTGACCTGTCCTCACTCCCACCTGGGATTAGTCCGGGGCTTTCGTGAGTGCCTTTAAGGCCACTTTCGGCTCTGGACTTTGTGCACCAACCACAGCAGGGTGAAGGGGATGGTGAGGAGGGGCTTAGATCAGGATTTGGGGGAGGTGGGTCCTAAGGACAGAGCTGCTAACCCAAGCAAGTCCTTGCCGGGCTGGGGACTGCGTCTCCCTGTCTGGAGAGCGGATGTGGGCCAAGACCAGCAGGTTTCAGACTCTGTGACTGTGACGCAGACTATGCTGCAACCCAGCAGCCGTCTCTATGTGGTCGAGTGAGAGAGTATGTGTGCTTACACTGCCCGACACTCTCCATTGCACTGCATTTTACAAACGCACCGCTGGTGGGCTGGGACCCACGGGTGCAGAGAGGACCAGGGACCGGCCACCCTTGGCTCTAGGCTCAGCATTCTAAGCGTTTTGTGACCAATGTCTGAGGTTGCCATCAGGACCCAGGTGGTGCTTAAAATGGAAGAAGGGAGTGCAAGGAGGTGACAAGCACTGATGAGAGGCATGGCGGAGACGGGGTCCCCTAGGGACATGGGCTCCCTGCCTGGGGCAGTCCTGGGTCCCCTCACCCCCCGCCCCACCTTACCTTTTCAAGTGTTCCAGCAGGAAGAGGAAGGTGATGAGGTTGGGGTCGGGCAGGGAGCGGAGCAGGTGCATCATGCAGTTCTCCTTGGCAGCAGGGTCTGACAGGGCTGCAGGGAGAGGAGGGCAGAGGAGGGGCTAGGCCTGGGCTTGGGAGCCCTGGCTGGAGCCCCTGTGGCCATGAGGCTCTGGGACCCCGAGGGGGAGCCTGGCTGCCAGGGTGTGGGGCCCACCACCACTAGAACTGGGCCAGAAGGTGGGCCTGGCGGAGCAGACCCCCGCCTTCCCCTCGCTGCATGGCCAGTGCTGCTGGTCCTCCCCCAGGCTGCTCTGCGTGGCTGACTTGAGGGCGGTGCTGCCCAATGCTGCCAGTGGTGGGATGTCTGCTCTCCACCATCTCTGCCGCTCCTAGCTCCCCCTGGGGGCTTTGGGGCCAAAGTCCCGTGTGTGGCAGGCAGGCAGAGAGGGCGTGCCCGGCCTGCTTTGGGCTAGGCAGGTGAGAGCAGGAGCCCTGCTGAGCAGTCCATGGGCAGAGTTGGGGGGGTGAGAGTGGTTCTTCTGGAAAGCTCAGCACAAGGCATGTCAAGACCCCTGGCCTGACCCCGCCTCTTCGGCTCTGAGGTGCCAACTCCTGTCCGGGTGCCTGAGACGGGAGGCACAGGTGCAAGAGGGTCCAGGGGCCCTGGGAGCCTCACCGATGCCCTCCATGAAGGCCGGGTAAAGCCGGTCTGTGAGGAGGGGTTCGGGCAGCTCCCGGAAGTAGAGCTTGAGGGTGCCGGCGATGGCGTTGATGTCCATGTCACTCAGCATCAGCAAGATGTCCTTGTTATCTGTAGGGGAGGGGCGGGGCCGCATCAGCCTCCCGGTTACCCCAGCCCTCCGCTCTGTTCTGCCTCCCCCCACCACCTGCCCTGAGACAGAAAGGCGGGAGGTAGGCAGGCAGCGCTACGGCTATCTGTGGCTTGCTCTGTTGGGTGGGGGCAGGGGAGCAGGGAGGGCCGCACTGGGGTCTCCCCGCGGCCTAGGCCCTCTGGATGGCTCTGCTGAGCACATCCGGACAGCCTCGGGTCACACGCGGGGGCCCTGTCCTGTCCTCGGCACCAGGCTTCCCTGCTGGGACCCCTCCCCCGCAGGGGACCACCCGTCTGGCCAGTGCCTGAACCTGAAGCCAGGCCCCGCCTCTGAGGAGTTTATAGGCAAAGCTACAGGCAGAACCGGCCCGGCCCGGAGGGCCAGCAATGCAGGCCCAGAGCCTTCAGCTCCCTGCAGCCCAGCAGGCACCCAGGCACCAGCAACGCGGCCTCTGGAGCCAGCTCTGAATGCAAGTCTGGGCTCAAAACCGACCAGCCGGGGAACCCAGGCCAGTGACCGGGCCTCTCGGATCCTCAGCTTCCTTACGGGAAAGACAGGGCGGGGTGGGGGTCCCTGGGGAGAGGCAGGAGGGGGGGCTCAGACCCAGGCAAGCCCCGGCCCGGGAGGGCTGCAGGCCCCGGGCCTGAGCACAGCAGCTGGCCGCGGGCGCCCAGGGCGGGGCCTGGGAACTCACTGGCATCGAAGACGGCCTTCAGCGCCTGGATGTCCGTGGCCACCCCCGATATCCGGTAGATGCCGACCTCCTCGATGCCCCGCTTCTCCACTTCCTCCACGCACTGCCGCACGATGTAGGGCACCTTGGAGCGCTCCCGCCTGGCGGACGGCGGGCAGGTGAGAGCAGCTGGACAGGGGTCCCCCGGCCCAGCCCGCGGCAGCCCCTGGGGTCAGGAGAGAGGGGCCGGGAAAGGTCTCCCCCCACCCAGGGTCGGCAAGGGACCCAGGCAGAGAAGGTCCCCGGAGCCAAGCCCAGAGCTCGGGGGCAGGAGTGCTGCCCGAGACTCCAGCCTCAAGGAGGCCCCGCGGGTAACCTGAGCGAGGACAGAGGCCAGCGGCCCCCGGGAGCGGTGGGACGAGGGACCTGGGCTCGCAGCGCTCAGATTTCGGCCTGTATCGCGAGAAGCGCCCAGTCTGGGATTTCTGCATGGCTCTTTGCGTGTCCAGGCCGGCCGCTGATGCTAAGGCACCGCGTGTGCCAGGGAGCAGCACACGCGTCTGCGGGCCACGTGGGGCCTCCCACAGGGATGCCAGGGGCGGCACCTACTTAGTCACCACGCTGATCTTCACCCCAAAGACGCCGGTCTGCTTTTTGGACGGGGTCCTCTTCAGGCTCATGTCCCGGCTGGTGAACTTCATGGAGAACTCCACTTTGATCTGCTTGGGGGGTGAGGCAGGCACAAGTGCCCCGGGGCATGAGCACTGAGTGCACCCCCCATCCCCAGGACGACCCCGGGGGGCGGCCGGCCCAGCACCTGCGGGAAGCAGCTAGGGGCTGGGCTGCCCGCTCTGACTCACCCCGTTCATCTCGATCACGTCCGTGTGCCAGTTCTTGGTTTCAACAGTTTGTGGATCCAACTGCAGAAATGGAAAGAGAGCACGTGAGCGAGGGAGAGGCGGCAGCTCACGGCCAGCCAGCGCTCGGCGGCCTGCGGAACCGTTAGGAAGGTTCTGACGCGTCAACCCTCCGTGGCGGCTCCAGCCCCGCTAGGGAAGGAGCTGCAGTGCTGAGGAGGAGGTGGGGCGCCCTTTGTTGGGTGCTTCTGCTCTGTACTTTATTTATTCCTGACCATCCCACTTCATGGATGCACAAACTGAGGCCCACAAGCGGTAAGCAACTGCTCAGCCCCCCGAATTGGGAGTCAGCCGGATGGGGCTCTGTCCTGTCCAGAGGGGACCTGGCCCGTTCTCAAGGAGGCGATGGAAGGCAAGGACCCCCTGTTCTCGGGGTCAGCCTGTCTGCAGCGCAGCCCAGCCCAGCCCAGGCAGCAGCAGGAGCCCGGCGAGGTGCGGCGTTGCTCAGCCTGGCTTTTTCCATCTATGTGTGGCCGCCAGTAGCAGCCCCCGCCTCCCAAGACTGTGAAGATCCAGGGAGGTAGCCTGGCTTCAGCATTTGGCTCCCAAGTCCGCCAACATTGCCCAGGGGAGGTCCGCAGAGCGGGGGAGGGGGAGGGGGAGGGGGACCTCCGCACGGGCCGATCAGGACTTGGTGTCTCCAACTCAGCGGCTTTCAAACCTGCGTTGGCACACCCGCGAAATAATTCTGAAAAACTCTGCACTCCCCAGCACATTTTTAAGTCAACATCTCAACATTTATACAGTGAGTTTACACAGTTGCAAAGAACAGTTTCCAGAATAATGTAAATACTGGCATCTTAAAACTGTGACGTTATTCTTTTAAATGTGTTCAGTGGAATCCGAACACCATGGTGATTCTGATACCCGCCATCATCCACTTAAAAAGTCACGAGCAAGCTCTTTTCTTCCTGAAGAAAGCCTGCACCTTTCTTCTTGGATTTACGGTTCTATCCCCTTTCCTCTAAAGAACTGCGTTCTGGTTTGTATTTTACCAATTAAAAGACTTATTTAATTATTTGAAAAAGTTACACAGAAAGAGAAAGAGACAGAGAGACAGATCTTCCATCCACTGGCTCACTCCCCAGATGGCTACAACGGCCAGGGCTGGGCCAGGTCGAAGCCAGCAGCCAGGAGCTCCATCCAGGTCTCCCACATGGGTGCAGGGGCCCAAGCACTTGGGCCATTCTCTGCTGCTTTCTTAGGCCATCAGCAGGGAGCTGGATCGGAGGTAGAGCAGCCAGGACAGGAACCAGTGCCCGTATGGGGTGCCGGTGTCACAGGTGGTAGCTTTTCCTGCTGCACTACAATACCGCCTCCATATTTTGTTTAATTTTTAAAAGATGCATTTATTTATTTGAAAGGCAGGGCGATACAGAGAGAAAGTGATCTTCTATCTGCTGGTTTACTCTCCAAATGCCTGCAATAGCCGGGGCCGGGCCGGGCTGAAGCCAGGAGCCTGGAACTCCATCCCACAATGGCAGGGGCCCAAGTGCTTGGGCCTTCACGCCCTGCGTTCTCAGGTGCAGCAGCAGGGAGCGGGATCAGGAGCAGCACTCCATGTGGGATGCTGGCGTTACAGGCAGTGGTTTGGCCTGCTGCACCACAGTGCTGGTCCCCAGGCAGCTTAACTGCTAGGCTAAGTGCCCACCCCGTTCCTTCACCTTTCCCCATGTTCCAAACCTTAAGTTGCACATAAACCCATTACCAAAAATTATTTTAAATGATGTCTTGGCTGACAACTCGGTCCTCCAATGGTTTGGTGGGAAGCATAGAACCGGACACCACGTGGCTTTGGAAGGCCGCATAATGGCCTGGAGAAGCCGTCTGTCGCCTCCCAGGATGCAGCGGGCCCTTCCCGTGCGGAGGGCTGAGGGCAGAGGCTGTGGTGAGACGCCTGCTCAGAGCACTGTGGCTGAGGACCTGCACACCTTCCCCGCGCCTGCCGGGGAGTGTGTGCCTCGAGCTGGATGCTGCCTGGGTGGGCTGGGGGCTGAGTGCTATGGGCACCTTCCACTACCCCGCTCTGCAGGGGCAGGCAGCACCCAAGCTTCTGGGCAGGGAGCCCTGGGGCCATGGCTGGCTTGCTAGGGGACCTGGTTTTGGGCCAGCTGTGGCCCAGGCCCGATACTAGCCATCAGCTCCCTGCACACAGGAGGAACGGAATTGAGAGCATGAAACAGAAGGAGTGTGGAGAGAACCAGGCGTGCCTTGGGGACAGCCACTGCCCTCAGGACCTCTAAACACAAGGAAGCCTCAGGCAGTCGCGACCTGGCTTCGGCCCAGGCTCTCTGCTCCAGAGGGCTGCAGGCCAAGGGTCCCACTGGGTCCCCAAGGAAACTCTGACTTTGGCCTCACTTTCCTGAAAGCTCCCTCCTGTCTCAACTTCTTAGGCCGCTAAGGCTGCCCCGGTAGTTCCCTCACCCCATGCAGGCAGCTGGACCTGGACTCAGGCCCTGGGACTGCTCGCAATCTGTCTCCTGGCAGGTGCCCCACGGGGATGGCAGCGGCTCCCTGCCCACTGACAGGGGCAGACGCTCCCCTCGGGGAGCAACCACACTTCCTAAAAACCTGTCTCGGCATCAGCATGAGACCCAGGACAACTGCATGGCCCCGGTATCTGGCTGGCTTCACCCACAGCCTTTCCCTTGCCCTGGCTGCCCACGCCCCGGCAGCTGCGAGGGCCCAAGCCGATGGTGTGCCCTGGCCCCACGACCATTCCTCTGCATGGAGCGCCTGTCACTCACCCTAACAAACCTGTGTGGTCTCTGCCTCCGCAGCTGCTCCCCTTCTACAGAGGCGGCTTAAAAAGCAGGAAGGACCTGGTGTTGTGGCACAGCGGCTTAAGACACCACCTACGATGCCCGATCCCATCAGAGTGCCAGTTTAAGTCCCAGCTGCTCTGCTTCTAATCCAGCTGCCTGCTAATACGCCTGGGAAAGCAGCAGAGCTCATGGACTGTCATAGCCACGTGGGGAGTAAACCAGTGGAGGGAAGATCTCGTCCCGTCTCTCTGTCACTCTGCCTTTCAAATAAGTAAAATCAATTAAAATTAAAAAAAAAAAAAAAAGGCAAGAGGTACTGGCCCAGGGTGCTACACACAGGGGTGAGGGCTCGGGTCCAAATGTGAGTCCCTGCCTCCGCTGCTAGGCAATGACCCATGGGGCACCTATGGGTGCCCGCACCTCTTGGCAACAACTATTTACTCAGCAAAGCTGTGAGGCCTGGCACGGGGTCTGGCCCCAGGCAGGCCACCCCCGGGACAGCCCTTCTGCTTCCTCCCTCCCCTCACCCCGGTTCCAGCTGCCCAGCAGCAACACTGATCTCCCAGGAGCATCCAGGACAGGAAAAGCAACTCCTGGTGCTCCTAGCCCCGCCTCTACCAGGCAGCCTCCAGGCTACCCCAGGCCACCAGGCTCTTCAGCTCCCCCTGCCCTACCCCTGCCAGGCACCACGCACTGTTGGTTCACACGGGTCGGGTGCCACGTCCTGACCACTGCCTTCTTCCTGGGCCTTGCTACAAGCATGACACCGGTACCTGCTCAGGGAGACCCGCCCAAGCCCTATGGCCCTGCCAGTGACGCGCTGTCTCCCAGGAGGCCAGCAGCCTCCAGAAACCAAGTCTATTTCGGGCTGTCACTTAAATACAGAGAAGGGGGCAGGGAGCGGAGAGGGCCATGGCACATTTTCCAGAGAAATGATTCTGCCTGAAGTGCTGTGACTATTTATAACCCCTGGGAAATGTGGACACTGCTATTTCCTGATTAGATTAGCGCTGGCCGCGGAGGAGCCGGCCCCTGGCATGTCAGGGGGTGGGAACACCTGATGGCTTACCCTCTGGTGCCAGCGGACAGCTACCATCTCGGCCCCAGGCACCTGGAGGCCAGGAGATCACCTGCAGGAGTGAGATGGGTGGGGCCAGGCTGGGGAGACCCACCGGGGACACCGCCTTCACACCCCCTAAGTGGGGCTCCGGCAGACAGAAACAGGCCACAGGCCACGCAGAAAGCAGAGTGAGCCGGCCCTCCATGGTTACTGAATGCAGCCCAGTCATCTTCCCGCCTCGCATTTAGCCAGTTGAACCTTAGCCACCCACTCAGACTCCCCTAGAGCAAACGGCACATCCCCTGCAGCAAAAGCCTGGCCTCCGCCGGAATCCTGCGTGGGGCTGGCAGGTGGCCTTCCTGTTCTGGACCAAAAATGGCCTCATGTTCAGGACAGGAGGTGCCAAAGCGGCCTTGCCAGGCGCTGGGAGGACCGGAGGCTCCCAGGGCAGGGGAGGATGCTCTGTGCATACCTGAGGGTCCTGCTCACCAGCACCACCCCCTGTATGAGCCCGCCCTCCCAGCCCTGTCTCTCTGCAGCCTGTTCCCTTCCCTCTGCCCCAGGGCTGTTCATCGCCACCTCCCAGCATTTCAGAGTCCAGCAGGTGTGGGCTCCTGTCCCCATCAGGGTGTCTGTTACTGCTCCTCGGGCCGTCAGAACCACGTAGGAGCAGGCCCTCTGGCCGCTGGGCCACACCCTCTCTGCTATGCCATAGCTCGCCCGCAAGTCTTCCAGGGATGGCTGCTCTGCCCCCACTTCCCACAGGCCCTTCGAAGGTGGGGGGGCTCTGCTCTACAACAGGGGGCCTGTGCTGGCTATGGGCCTGGTGTCTGTGGGCAGCAGGGGCTCAGCGGTTGGAGCCGGCCAGGGCTGGTCTTGGTAGGAGAGTGGGCGGTGCAGAAGCTCAGAGCGACCTTCCGTGAGCATCACTCTGGGGTGAAACCCGGGTGCTCCCCCAGGGCTGGGCATCCCGAGGACAGGGCTCGCAGGCCCCACTTCTGCAGGCTGAGCCCCTCCCTCAGAGCCCTACTCATGGCTTCCACGGCAGGGGCCCAGGGTCCCCTGGAGCTCTGCCTCCTGGCACAGCCCTGACACGCTCCCTCCCAGCCTTCTCTGCTCTGCGTGGCCTCTGAGGTCGCAGCCCAGCTCTCTGGCCCTGCTCTGGCAGGCCATGGACT